CAAAAGAAATCAGTTGAAAAAGATCAGACATTGTATTCTTTTCATTTATATGAAGTTTAGAAAGGCAAAACTAACATGTTTAAAAAAATCGGAACAGTAGTAGCTTCAAAATGAAAGGATTGAGTGGGGTGTGGTACAAGGGAACTTCCTGAGGAATTGTTCTGTTTCTTAATTGTGAGGTTGGTTGTATACAGGTCTATGCATTTGTCAAAATCCCTTACACTGTGCACTTGAGATGTGTGCATACTACTATATATAAATTATACCCTAGCTACAAAGAAATTTACATCTTTCTCTAATTTGCAGGTTAGATTTTATTTTCATTTACTCCATACAAGACCCAGACCTTCGTGTGGGTAACACTGTAAAAGAAGTCTGTGCATGTGGAAATTGATTTCTCCTCCCCTTTCTTTACTTTTCCTTCCTCCTTTCTTCTGAAAACCACAGGAACGTGTGATAGGTGAATGACCATTTCGAGCAAAACTATAGCAGAAAACTTGTACCGGAATTTTCTCATTTGGACCTCATGAAGGCCTATAATTTGAATGTGTGACTCTAGAAGTGGTTGCTATGGTGATAAACCACTTTACTTAAATAGCATGTATTTTACTCAAAATTCAGAGAAATGGTAACAGTTTTTAGTAATCATGCCCTGGTATTAACTTGCAGGGATATGCCCAGAGCTTACAGGTTTTGCATCCATTATCACCAGATTAGCTCATCAGGTTAAAGTTCTGCCAGGGAATAATGAAATATATATATTTAGCTCAACTTCTTGTTGCGTATCTTCCCTTGAACACATGGAAACTCCTTTTCAAGATTAATAATATGAGCTGGAGAAATCAGGCCAAGGGTACTGAATTACAAAAAGGTAAAACTGGAGGGAACTTTGTAATGTTATCTTTTCCATCATTCTGTATCCAGCTGATGACTTCAACTGTCCCAAATGGTTAGCATTTGTCAAAGGTGAAAAACAATTGAAATGCTGCTTGGGGCAGTCCCTGGTGTGACACCCTGACTGACTGCACTACTCAGACGTAGCATCTAATTCCACAGTGCTGAATCTACCTACTTCATATTTTGTGTGTACGTGTGTGTGTGTGTGTGTGTGTGTGTGTGAGAGAGTATACTGTAATTCTTTATCTTTTCAGACTGAAGAGCTCTCGTATAAAGAAAGCACCACCCCTTAATCATATTAGCCTGTTTGTAGATCCTCTCTAGTCTCTTTTTATCTTTTCAGGCTGGTTGCGGTGTTGCTGGTATGAATTCATCATGGTTTTATATAAGGATAGAATTTTTTCTCCTAATATCTAAAATGCTTTCTGATGATAGTGAGGTTCACTTGTGCATGGTGCAGTGGTACTCTAGACACAGCATTTTTAGGTCCTCTTGTGGACTGACAAATAAATGGTCAACAGCCTCACAATGCACAGTTAGGATCTTTCCCCCAGAACTGAATATTGAAATTCCTCCATCTTTTCCTCCCTTTGTACAGTCTTGTGGGAGCTCTTCTCCTTCTATTTGTCTTTCGTGACCTGTAAGATCTCATAGCTTTGGCAATTTCGCTTTCATTTCTCTGTCCTATTACTTATAAAACTGTAAAATTGCATCACTGACAGCACAGATCCCTGAGGAATCCTACTAGCCGTGATAGAGGTAAAGGAGAAACACAAAACTTAGATAATCTATAACCTAACAAAAGAAATCGCTGAAAAATGAAGATTTGTTCATAGTCTTAGGAAAAACCTAGTAGTTGGAATTTACCTTTGCTATTTATGTTCCAAGGAGGTAGGAGGGTTGGTTGTCTGTAAAGAAAACTACAGCTTGACCTAAGAGGCACATGGTGGCCATTTTGCGTCTGCTCTGTCAGTGCCAGAGAATGGTTTCAGTGAGGGGTCCTCTAACGGGGAGTCTCAGACTCTTGAAAAACTATTTGGGTTCAGTTTTTAAACAAAGACGTGCTAAGTGTACTGCATCTGCAAGTGAACAAAGAGAAATGCTAAGGCACATACATGCACACATATATACACACAGTGTTTCCTAAGTTAAATCCATATACTCAGAAGCTCCTAAGCATTTGCAGTAAACATTTGCATAAAGGTAAGTGTATTCGCACTGATGTTACCAGGAAGTGAAGAAATAAATACTATGATTTGTTTCCGTGAGGCCACTTTTGAGGCTTAATTAAAGTATTATGGTTGTCTGTATTCACTTTAACATATATTAAACCCTAAATTGACAAAGAAATAAGAAAAGAGGCACCCTCATATGCTGAGAGTAGGAATATTCATTGGTGTAACTTCAATGGAAGGTTATATGATATCTTTCAAAATTACAAATTCCTTTTGACCAAGGAATCTTACTTCTAAATATATATATATCCTGTAGATACAGTAACACATGTGGAAAATGACACAAGCCCAAGGCCATTCACAACCATATTATTTGTACTTGTAAAAGACTGGAAATAACCCAAATGTTCATTGTGAAGGGCTAGATAAAACAGTTAAACAAGGAAATTACTACCCAGCCAGAAATAAAGAATGCACACTCTTTTTATGAATTAATTTTCTAGATGATCATTGGTTAAGACAACAAGGTGTAAAGGGCTGCTTAGTGGGCTACTGCTTGTGTAAAAAGAGTGAAAGAGAGCATATAGATAGATGGATAAAGTCGAACCTTATGAAGTGGCCATTATTAGAATGTTTTTGACCAGCACCCAATGGCAGTGACAACCAATTCCATTTGATTGCACTTATTTGCTTGCAGACATACGAAGTCTCTCTACAAGTGTGTACTGTAAATCGACAACTTGGTTCCCCTTGGTGGGGAGAGCTGAGTGAACTAGGGGGCGAGAAGATTTTGAACATAGTAACTGCAAAGCCATGCATATATACTGTCTATTTTTTAAATCACTGTTTATAAATAAATAAATGTGACTTGAGGAATATAATTTTTTCATCTTGCTATATAATGAAAGAAATATCATGTTTCTATACAAAGTAATGAAACACTTTGGTTTAGCTTGGCTTTTCCTTTCCATTTTTTCAGAAAATTCTGAGAATTAAGATATTGTTTCGAAGAAGAAAATATGAGAGTCTATGAAGTTTTTTTAGAGAAAAATTCTGCATTACTGTCCTTATTCATAAAGACTGTTTCTGAGTGTTTCTTCCTAGGGACTGCAACTTCTGAGTCTACTCTAAGGACTTAAGTATATCAGCAAACAGAGCAATGGATAAGAATGGAAACATTAAGCAGATATGAACGTGAGCTCTTTAAAAAGAAAATGACTGAAGCTCCACTCCTATTTTATAGAACTGTAGTGGACACATTGAAAACTATTCTCTCAACTACTTTGATAATAACTCTTGTCCAAATAGAAATATCAAAAGAGAGAGGGTTACACTTAGATTCAACCTTTAATCAGATTTGTATATAAAGTTAATTAAATTTTATGAACTAAAATTTCCTAGTAGGTTCCATGACTTAGAAATGAGAATTGTACTGAAGAAAGCAGCTTGTCCTCAGGCAGATACTAGAACACCAGGGATGTTGTATCCTTACCTTATTGATGAAAAAAGAAATTCTTAACAAGAGTACACAACCCATATTAGTGGGTGTTAAAGAAGTTTAAATATTTTCTGCTTCTTGAAAGAACACAGAGGAACAACTCAATATTCTTCGAGGAGAAAAGATAGCAAACAGGACCATTTTACCTTTCAAAATATATACAAATTAATTTTTCAGATACAAAATGCTTGTTAATTACCTATCCAAGAATCAGCAAACACTGCTGTAAATTCAGACATGAATGATGCTCTCTGACAGGCACACACTTAAGGGATGTCTGCAACTAACAAACATCAAGTAGAGCTTCTCCTTGAAATACAGCTATCAAAGAATAAACGACCTGAAGCTTTGCTGTAGCCCTGGGAAATCATTCATTCATTGAGCAAGTATATATTAATTGTCTATGTGTATAAAACATAGTCATTATATCACAAGAACTTGAGTGATCAAAGAAATAGATTAATTTACTCTGCGTTATGTGTAATCTTTTCACATTTTTTGAAAATTGCTAACCTAATTCTTAATCCAAGTGTATACTTTCCTGTAAGCCAGAGTACTAAATGTGTGAGCCCTTTCCTACATCATTCTATGTAGTGACAGCTTGCTGGGTCTACACTTGGGTTCGTAGGTCTCCTGGGATATCCTGTACACTTTTAGAACACCTTGCTTACCTTCATTTAATTAAAAGTGATCACTTTTAAAATAAACATAAAGTCAAAGTGGACCCTCCATTTCTCACGATGGCAGGACTCAAAGACAGTTCCCTCCTCACCTGTGGAGTGAAGGACCTGAGAATGTACAGTTGCCTGTGAAAATCCTTCTGCTTGTACTCTCATGGTCATCCTCTCAGTTCGTTCTCGTAATCACCCCTTGAAGTAAACATGCGCATACTGTTTTGCTCCCTTTGTGGGTGAGCAGTTGAGGCTCAAGAGCTCTGCAGACCTTCCTGAGTGTTGTGACTGGGAATGGAAGCCAGTCCCTGGAACGAGGGCAGAATGGTAAAAATGTGAGTGGGCGGTTCGCAGCAGCTTCAGACGCAGGTTAAAGTAATCACATTGTACTTGTCAGGGAATGACACATCTGACTTACCTGGAAATCTGAAAGGTGGAATGAATACAGTTGTAGCTAAGTGGACTGTCCTTACTGAAGACCTTACTGAGACACTTCCGTTTTCCATGACAAGAGGGTTGAAATTGAGCCTGAATGGTTTGCTCCACTCCAGACACTAAGTCAGTCAAGTCAGTATTTGAAAGTGCTACAGGACGTGTGCGTGTTCCCATTTAATAATAATTTTACAGTGTGACGAGTGTGTATCCCAAGCCTAGAAAACACTCCAACTTGCCAGTCTTGGACAGCACTGTAGTTCCTTGCGTCTTTGAGTTGGTATATATTTTTGTGTCTGAAAACTAACCTAGGCCTTTTATTTTTAGCCCACTGCTTATGAAAAGAAACTGCCTGCAACCAGTAAGAAAACAGATACAAGTGACTTTGACTCGTGCTGTTCAAGCTCCACATCTGGCAAACTCCTCCCACCTGAGCTCAAGGGAGAAGTAGAGAAAACTTCTGTGACTCCAAGCCAAGGAGTAGCAACCAAATCCACTGCTAAATCCACTACCCTGTTTCGAGCTAAAAAAAAACCGTAATGTTCCCTCCAGCGCTGAACAAACAGTACCGAAACGAACTGCTCTTTCTAGTGCTACAGGGAGGGGTTAGGAGGGGAAAGGACAGGGCTACACCGAGCTTTCGGCCTTTTGGTCTGCTGAACCCTGCCTTGTGGCTGCACCAGTTTAAAACTGAAGCTAGTTATCTCCAAAGCAGCATAAACTGCGCGGAGTATTAAAGCACAGCCGCCAACAGGCCTGATGGCCATGCAGCTAAAATCAACTCAAGATGAAGCCAACGGTTGTTTGGGGGGCAGATGCCCTCAGTGCAAGCTTGTGGCAGTACTGCTCAGTTTTATTTCAAAGTCTTATATTTAGGCACAGTTATTTATATGGGAAAACAAGAGGCCAACTACGGTAATAGAGGTTCCAAATAATTATGTGCACTTTGCACTAGAAGACTTTGTTAGAAAATTACCAATAACCTTGCCATAGGCGTTATGGCAGAAGTGCTTCAGTCCTTCACGTGTGTTCTTGTAATTTTAGGTTGCTATAGTTGTTTAAAACAACTCTTTTTAAGCATAGAACAATAAGACATTTTGTAACTGCTTACCATTAACTTGCTGCTAAATTCTCAATGTATTGATTCAATCAATAAAAATCAGATGTTACCTATACATGTTAATTTTTATGTTAATAAGAAGTGCATATGGTAAGGTCCATTAACCCCCTATACATTACAAGGTTTGCTGCACGTATCTCTGGGGAAGGGCATGGGTCTGGATACAGGAAAAATACATCATTTCTCTTAGTATTGTGGGTATCTCCTTTCCACTAAGTGTCCTTGCACTGAAGGATAAACTGGATAAATCAATGCTTCTGTGGGCTTCCTAAACAAATTTTAGAAGAAACAATTTGTACTTGCTTCTACTTTTATAAAAATAACCTTATTTCATTTCACACACCCCTCCCATGGGATTGTCAGTTAGGCTTCCAGAATGACCCTTACCTGGCCACCTGTACCTGGCCAGCTGAGCAAGTAGTAGTTGCACATAAATCTACTCAATGGCTAAAGGAAGTACATGTGCTTCTTGTGATTAATTTAGGAGACACTGTTGTGATTCTCTATGGGTCAGAGATACCACTGACATCCGTTACCCTGGCTGAGGGATTCTGCCAGTATTTTCTTAGTGTCTTCAACATGCTTTCCTTGAAGGAAGCTGCCAGCTAAATGTGTCTCGTGTAAACTTTATGAATTTTATTTTAAAATTGGAATTGACATAGCTTCTTCAAGATCTTTCTCCTTTTTTATTATTCCTTTTTATTATTATTTCCAGCTCTATCAGAAGCCCAGACAGTACCTCTTCAGTTGAGAGTATTCTCTCAGGGTGTGGTGAGCTGGTTGGTCCTTGAGGAGTGTGTCCTGCCCAGGTAGTGAGAACCTGGCTCCCTGGGTAAGAGGAGCTCTCCCATCCCCAGAAGCAATCTTGAGCCTGTGGTCCTGCCACCTCTGGTAGGTAGGAACCCAAGTCCTGATGGAGAGCAGGATGCTGGTCTCCTGGCAGAAAAGCCAATCAGGACAGTGGCTTTGAATCTGGGCGTGAAATGGAATATGCCTTGTACTCAAAGTGCCCTTCCTTTCATAGCAACTGCATCTTTTTGTGATTAACACTTGTTAAATCAAGTACCATTCTCATGTCTCTTGACCCTAAGTTAGAATTTTGCCAGTAATCTTGAACAAAGGTCTAGAACTAACCACTTACTGAAAATCGAAGTAATTTTATAACATTTTAATGTGTCCGTACCTTTTCCTACCACATACTAGAGAAGGTTTCTATTACAAGGTGCAGGTATTCTATTACATACTTTCACATTATCTCTATAGAACAATTTGATAAGAAATTTAGCTTACTCTAGTTTCTAGAGATAATTTCCATATTATTTCTGTGTGTTGTTTGTTTGCATAAAATACATTAGACCAGGCCATATCTAGGGTTTGTTTTCCAACTGAAACACCTCTTTACTGGCTGGAGATATGCAGCTTTACTCTCTCCGTTTACTCCATGGCTGTGAAAAAGTAACCCTTCCATTTCAAACTGGTTTCGCTGACCACCAGCAGTCTGTCTGATGCCTCCCGTTCTCCATAGCTGGGCTTTGCCAAGATGCAAAGAGACACACACAATGTGTAGGACAGCACAGAGCAAATGTTATTTCCAAGGAATACAAATGCTGATCCACACCCCAACCTGAATAGCAGGTAAGTCAAGGCAGAAGGTACAGGAACACAGACGTGGAGCTTGAGGACAAGCTCTTGTGAGGAGCACAGCAGATGATATTTGAGAAGAAATGAAAACAGCTGTGTTGGGAAGCAAGATGAAGACACAGTGTGGTTCACAGAGCTGAATGCTAGCACACAATTGCCAAACCTGGGAGCAGGAGTTGCGGGGAGGGGAGGAGTGTTGTTCCTAGAACGGTTTGCTGCTCTGGGTCAGTCTGAAGTAAAATTAGCCCCCTCTGTGGCCTGTTCACAAGCAAAGCTGAAGATAGACTGAAAAACCACAGATCCAGGGAAATGGAAGCTGAGAGAGGCTGTGATTTGAAGAGTTGGCCATGGAATAGTCCTCACGTTTTGATCAAGTAGGAATGTTATGTGGTATTTCGGGGAGGGGTAGAAAAAATAAAAACATTTTGTGCTTATCACGGCAATGCTTTGTTTAAATAATTCTATTTGACTCCAGAATGTAAGTTCCAGGTTAGACAGATCAAAAGCAGCCAGTCTTGAAAATGAAGCTTTTTAAATTCCAGCCCTGCTGTTGGAATAGAGAATAAAGGCTTTGTTCAAACATGCATTCCCAGCAGTAAGTAGGGCTTTGAAATTGGCCAGGGAAGTTGTGTCCTATAATGGCTGCACTTGGCTGGAGACCAAGAAGCTGCAGCCTTTGGGAAACGACCCTGGCTGGATGTTTTCCATCTGCGCCTCCAGGACCACTTTGCCTGTTCTGCCCTCTCTGCTCAGATGCTGATCTTTAGGGACTGTGTTGTCAAGCGCCCTCCTGACCCCTAGATTTGTTGGCATTCTGTCAACAGAGGCTCTGACAGGAGGTAAAGGATGGGAGAGCCAGGCCCAGGGATTGGTTCTCCCACTGCCTCCCTTGCTGGGATGCTAGATTTTTGCTGTACCCTCCTTTCTGGGCCAAGTTCCCCCTACCCCCTTTCTTACAGCTATGCCCATGTGTTCTTCAGGCTAAGACCAATGGTAGTGCCCTGGGGTACCGCATCTTTTTCTGTGGGTTTCCTTAAGCCTTCTCTTTATAAGTTCTCATCGTTGAACTCTTTCCTGCCCCATCTGAATGTACTTCTGGCTTCTACCACCACTCTGAGTGATTAGACCCTTCCCTTGTGAGCTCTGCATTGTTCTTGCCCCAGGACGATGGGTCTCTGGTTGCCAGTCTCCTACCAAATTACAAGAAAACGAAGCGCACCAAACCTAAAGGGTTCTTCCTGAAAACATGACATACTCGGATGCTCTCTGGGAGCTGGAGGGAGCACAGGGACAGCTTCTGGCTTTGAACCCAGGTGGAACAAGGTAAATCCAGCATTGCCCAACTGAAGCTGAAATCAGAAATGGTCTAAACCCAAAAGGTTTCGGTGTAGGTCTTAAATTCCAACCTTGGCTTTGGAAGTGTAAAGAAAGCAGAGGGCTAGAATCCCACAGCCTGGGAGGGGAGCTGCCCCCTGCCTCCTGGCTTTTGGTGAAGGCCATGGAGAGGCTTCTTGGAGGACCCGTGTGCAGGACAGAAGCTTGGGCAACCTGAAGACAGTTAGTCTCCCTGGGCTTGGCCTTTGTTCATCTCTAGATGCACTCAAATCACTTTACAAAAGCATTTTAAAGGAAAATTCCCACTATTCAAAGGTCTCACATAGTTCAGCTTTACTCTTTAGGATCCTGTATTTTTCTGAGTCAACTGGCTTCAAGCTGATTTTGATTTCTGTTCAGTGTACTGTTATCACTTAATTCTCCTTGGAACCAATTTTCTTTGCCTTTGTTCTTCAAAGGAAGGCCATATTCAGTGGCCACCTGCATTTGGTGTGTGCCCTCGTCAGTTACGAGCATAATCAGCTCGACTCTGCTCTGTGTCAGCTCTCCGTGTTTCCCAAAATTACCAGAAGTTGTCCCCAGCAGGAGTGACCCTTCAGCCTCCAGCCCAGCAGTGGCACACAGTTGGCAGTGAGACACTGGAAACCAAATAGGTCCACTGCAGGGCTATTGCTGTGGGCTCAGAGACTTTCCCCGCTTTCCCCCTGCCTGGTGCCACATCAGTTATATTAGCTGCACTCTGGAACATGGTGAAGACCTTAGTGGATCCCCTCCCACCCCAAACAGGTAGTGATTTCTGGCCTGGCCCCAGACAAGGCCAGAGGTGAAGTGCAGCCCCCTCACCCCACACAGACCGCATGCAGCTTGACCCCTGTCCCACTCCTGATGAGAGTCTACAGCTACTTCCCACCCTATCCATGGTACTGATACCAGGGTTCCAAAGGTCCTCTGCCCTTGGGAGTACACAGCACAGTCTTTCATTCTTTCTCTCCAGGCAAGATGGTTTAGCAAAGGTCTTTCTCATCAGCACAGAAAATTACTTCCTTCCCCAGGAGCAATAGCAACATCAGAAAGAGCATTTCCAACCCATCCAAGGGGCAAGATGGGTGCAATGAAAGCTGCCGCACCACTGACCCCCTCGCAGGGCTCTGAGGAAGAGACCTTCATGTGGAGGTGGCAACTGGTATGCCCAGGCCCAAGCATTGGTTTACATTGAGTTTACTTGACTCCATTGTCTTCCTGTAAGCTGGATTTCAGGCTGTTAGTGTTAGGGATGCTTTACTTAAGCAATAATAGCAGCAGCATCTACAGAGTGCTTTCCACATGCCAGACACCATGCTCAGTATTTTACATGTCCTGGTTCTTTCAATCCTTGCAACCCATGAACTTGGTACTGTTGTTGTCCCTACAGAAGAACAAACTGAGGCACAGAGAGATTAAGATATTCATTCGAAGTCACACAGCCAAGTGCTAATAGAACCAGGAGTTGAACCCAGCTACCAGGCTTGAGTTTGTCACTGTGGCACTGTATGCCTCACAAGGCATTTGTAGTTTTTCTTCCTTCCTCTTTAGCCCTGAGACATCTATAAAGTTTGATCCCAGAATTCCACAAGGCTGAGAGGCTCTTGAACACCTCTCTCTCTCTCTGTCTGTCTGTCTGTCTCTCTCTCTCTCTCTCTCTCTCTGTCTCTCTGTCTCTCTCTTTCTTTTCCTCTCTCTTTCTCTCTCACAGCAAGTGGTGATTTTGGCAAGTTTGGGGCTTGAAGTTTCAAATGGAACTGGGATTATTTTACATGTTGATAAATTTGAGTAAAAACCTAGCCACGCTGAATAGGGAAGCTGCCTTCTACAGGACTTAGCACGATAAATACAATTTTCAGTGCTTTAACTGGCCATTATCTGAAGCAGCTTTTGAACATATTTTTGGCCAAAGAAAAAGGCTCCACTGCCTTCTCAGACCGAATGGACTGTCATTTCTGGTAGGCCTGGTGGCCTGTGTACCAGGAGCTGGGTGTTGCACTTCCCATCACAGGGCACTTGGGCTAAGAATCGTTGTCTGGGTCCTGTGTTTCTTCATCA